AAAAAAAAAAAGATCTGGAGTGCATGCCCCTGGGTACAGTGGCTTCCTGTGGACAACCTGCCACACACTTGGTTCTTTGTGGCCTAGTATACTGACCTCCCAGCTCTAGTGTCCACAGGCAGAGGTGGCCTCCACCATGACCATCACTGTGTGCTTCACACTGGCTGCTTTGGCAGAGCAAACAGTACAGTGTCCAGTGGCAAAGGCGCCAAGACTCAAATGCATTAGCGCTGGCAGGGGATGAAACTAATACACTGCTCTCTCTCAGCTGCAGAGCCAGAGCCCTGTGCGCCCACAGCACCCTTCCCCATCCAGAAGGTACAGATGGATGAGCGAGAAGAGTTCGGACCGCGGCTGCCTCCCGTCTTCTGCCCCAGTGAGTCCAGACCCCATGTGCCGCCCCTGCAAAGGAACAGCGCCAATAATTCCCGCCCACCCGTCCCCCTGACTCCACACCCACCAAGTGTTCGCATGTGTTTCCAATTACAGTCACCATGGATACCCAGTGCCCCCACCGAGTGCCTGAGTCACGGTTGTTTCTTTAAGTATCGAAGCTCAAAATGCCTTTTCTTCTCAGCCTGGAGATGGTGGAAGCATCATAAGTGTTGTCATTTTATGGGGCTGATATGGTGCTATAACCCCAGCACTCAGGACACTGAGGCAAGAGGATCACAAGTTGGAGGCTAGTCAGCCCCTGCCTTAAAAATAAAAAAATCACTCTTGGAAAGGGAGAGTCAGGTGTGGTGATGCACACCTTTAATTCAATACTCGGGAGTCAGAGGCAGGTGGATCTCTGTGAGTTCAAGGCCAGCCTGGTCTACAAAGCGAGTACCAAAACAGCCAGGGCTATAAGTGAGACCTTGTCTCAAAAAACAAAAAAACAAAAAAAAAAAACAACAGATGATGGATGGGGCATTGTGGCCAGAGAGTATTTCAGGTTCTGTTGGACTTTGGCTAACAGACAAGACCAGCCCTCCTCCCCAGCGTCTTCAGCAGCTTCTGTGCAGGGGTCACATGTTAACATCCCTCTGAAAATGTTCAGACGGGTTTCTGCCGTGGCTCTGAAGGCCAGGCTAGCAAGTATGATAGCATGGCCTACTTAGAGAAGTGGCCCATGATTCCACTGCCCTCCACAAAGATACTGGCGCGATTGTTGAATGCCAGCAAGTGTGTTTCTCTTGGCTTTGGTCCATGGATCTTTGGTCCGGGTTGATGTTAGTACTTGTTGGCTGAAGTGCTCTGTGGCTTTTTGAGGCACATTTTCCAGAACACCCTCGCCATCCTTTATACAGTGAATAATAACTTGGTCCATGGGTTACTTCAGGGATATGATTTTCAAAAAGTAGAATTTTTTTTTTTTTAAAACCCTCTGGGGAGGTAAAATTTTGAAACATCTGACTAACAGTATGGTTAGGAAACTGCAGAGCCTTTTTAGTGGTTGGTCTTCACGTTCTCCCTGCTGCTCACATGTTCATTCCACCCCCAGATACTCGTCAGAAACTTGAGACACCTCAAAAAGAGAAACCTAAGAAGAGCAAAGAAAAACACAAGACCAAGAAAGAGCACAGACGAAAGAAAGAGAAGGTGAGTGCCTCCCTCCCGAGAGCACAGAGACGCAGAGACGTGTGGGGTGTCCTGAGACGCCCAGAGCAGCTCCTGGCTCAGGAGGGACAGATTTGTTCACGTCCAGTGCCACCTCTTTTCAGAAACCTTGGTTTTTTCTTTTAGAGCAGAAAATTATAAAGACTAAAGACTAAAAAGTGGATGGATGGAGAGAGAGAGAGAGAGAGAGAGAGAGAGAGAGAGAGAGAGAGAGAGGTAGAATTTGGGGCTGGAGAGATGCCTCAGTGGTTAAGCATACTGGCTGCCTTTGCAGAGGACCAAAGTTTGTGTTCTGGCACCTCAGGATGGCTCGCAACTATAACTCCAGTTCCAGGGGATCTGATGCCCTCTTCTGGCCTCTGCTGGCACGACATGCATGTGGTGCACCAACATATACACAGGCAGAACAACCATATACGTAAAAATAAAGAAAAAAAAAAGACATTAAAAAAGGATTTGAGGTACTTTATACTAAACATTAAATAATAACACTGCTCCCAGCCACCTCATTATTACTAAGGACTGAGCTCTTGATCCTTAGTGGTTATTCGAAGGGAAGGAAACTTGAGAAGAAGGAACGGTGATGGATTCCACTGTCACGTTCCCTCTCTCGTCATCCATGTGCTCAGAACCTACAGTCTGGTTGGTGTTAATGGCAGGTACCTGTGCGGCCAGTCCAGGAGTGCAGTCGGTGAGAAGCCGCACCACACAGAGTGAAAATTCACGCAGTGTTGGAAACCAAACCCATGTGTTCTTACCCCTGCTCTTCAGTGACCACCTCCTCCTCTCTGCCTTGTCCAGTGCTCACTCAACAAACAAGTCAGGTGGTAGGAGGATGGAGGTGGAGGGTCGCAAGGATCCCACCTGCATCTGTGTGATTCTGCTGTGTCCTCTGTGGACGTGCTGGGGAGACCAACATGTGCACAGTTTAACGTATCACAGCTGCTAGTGTCTGACTGTCACCATTAGGCCAAAGTGCACTCCAAAGGAGAATTTTTATTTTTTTTTTTTAAGTTTTAAATAAAAAAAGTTTTGTTTTCCAGCAACCAAACACATGCCTGGTATAGTTGTTTTTTTCTCTTTCTTTTTAGCCCAGATCATTTTATATGACAGAGTTCTACCTTTGAGTCAAGTTCCCAGCCCCTCTCAGGGGAATTCTAAGCCTTTAACTACGGAGCTATGCTGCCAGCCCCTCACTGGTGGGTTCTAGGCAAATACACCAAACAATAACCCCAACCCCACTTGCAGCTTCTAGACCAGAGCTCTGACATTAGGTCATACCCCATGCTCCTAGGTTAGCTGTGTGTGTTATGTGTGAAATGTGTGGGTTCAAATGTGTATATGGAGGCCAGAGGTCAGTGTCAAGCATCATACTCAGTCATTCCACACCTTGTGTGTGTGGGGGATGTGGTTTTGTTTTTTGTTTTGTTTTGTTTTTTTTAGACAGGGTTTTTTAATGTAGCTCTGGCTATCCTAGCATTCACTGTGTAGACCAAGCTGGCTTTGAACTCCTGAGTGCTGGGATTAAAGGTGCCTGCCACCTTGCCCGGCCCCCTCCACCTTATTTTTTTGAGATAGAGGCTCTCACTGAACCCGGAACTCGCCGCTGCTGGGACAGGACAGTAGGCCTGTGCCACCCGTGTTATTTACACATCCGAGCTTGGTCAACAAGAACTTTGCCATCGGAGCTACTCCCCAGCCCCTGCTCGCTCAGCTTCTTTATTTTGCTGAGCCATCCAGGGAAGCCCCTGTTCGTTCCTCTCACGTCTTAATCTGCGTTTCCATTTTCTCTTTTCCTAGAAGAAGAAGCACAAGAAGCACAAGCACAAAAGTAAGCAAAGGAGCAAGAAGTCAGAGAAGAGCAGCGGTTCTGAGAGCGACAGCAGCGACAGCAGGAGCGATGAGGGGGCGGGGGCGGACCTGTGCCCCCAGGAGCTGCTGAGACGGTAGCCCTCTGCGGGCTGGGCGGAGAGCTCTCAGAGGCTTTGGCTTAGGGGTGGTGGCCCTCACCTGTCACCCCACCTCTTGGGAGGCTGAGTCAGGAGGGTCTCAAGTTTGTGGACAATATGGGCCACATGGTGTCATATTGTGTCTCAAAACCTCAGGGTGGGTGTGAAGTAAGAACAGAGAGAGAGAAAAGTTCAGTCCCAACAGAAAAGGCCCTTGTCTCACATTAACCTCCTCTATTGGTCCTCTGGTAACATTTAAGACTTCTGTATGAACACACATGCACACATGCACACACATACACACAATTATACACACATATATGCAATCATATACACTCAATCACAAACATAACTATATATACATGAACAGTTATACACAATCATATACATGCATGTAGATGCACACACATCATATAAACATACTCATATACTCACACATGTACACAGTTGTATACACAGTCACACATGGAGTCATAAACATGCAGTTATAAACACATCATATACACATTGCAGTGCACATTTAATATGTATATTTCAAGATTGATTTATTTTGTGTGTATGAACGTTTCCCTGCACGTGCATGCAGTGCACCCAGAGGCCAGGAGCCGGTGTTGGATCCCTTGGAGCTAGACTTACAGTGGTTGGCTGCTATGCCGGCACCTCGACCTGAACCCAGGTCCTCTGCAAGAGAAGCTAGTGTTCCTAACCTCAGAGCCATCTCTCCAGCTCACCCAGCCTCCTTTTCCAGACTGTAGCACTAATGACCTCTAGCCCAGTTCCCAGAGTCCTTGTTCCCCTCTGAAAGTTCATGCATGGTCTCTGCGATCCTGCCATCCTGTCCGCATTCTGATCTTCCACACTCCCACCAGACGGTCTGTGAAGGTCTACTGTAGCCTTATAGGGTTTCTCTATTTTGTAGCTCCTAACACATTCCTCCCACAAACCAGTTCTAAAGACTTGTGAACCCCATGGTCAGGAGCCCCACCCCTTGGCAGCTATTTTCTGTCTCTTTTCTATGCTGTGATAAAATAAGGGACAGAGAGCAAATTGAGAGGACATTTTGGCTCACAGTCTGATGGTGTGGTCTATCGTGTGGGATGAGCGGCTGATCACACCTGCCTGGATCTGGTAGCCAGCTTCCTCCTCTATCCCTTTTTGTTCAGTCTGGGACCCCAGCCCTTGGGATGTTGCCACCTACATCCAGGGTGAATCTTCCCAGTTAAACAACTCTAGGATTACCCTCACAGAAGGCCAAGGATGTGTCTCCTAAGTGATGCCAAATCCAGTCATGTTAATAATGCAAATTAACCACACACCCATTAGTTAGCTCCATTCACACCTGGTCCTGCCCTCCTTGTTTGAGACAGATCTCACTCTCCTAAGCTCAGCCAGCCTGGAATTCACTATGTCTCCCAGGCTGGTCTGAAAGCCATGGTGATTCTGCCTTTCCCTGCAGAATGCTGGGTTTGCAGATGTGAACCACCACCCTGACATCTTCAGCTGAGCAGGGCTGCCATGGGCATGACACTGCTGCAGGAGACTCACCCCTGCACAAGGGATCACCCAGGCAGGTGGCTGTGTGCTGCTTGATGTGTAAAACTTCTGTAAAACCTAAGAGTGTGGTGGTGCCGGTATTCCCAGTACCTGAAAGGGGGAGGCAAGAGGACCAGGAATTCAAAGTCATCCTGACCGGCATAGCAATTTTGAGGTCATCCTGCGCTACAGGAGATCTTATCTCAAAAAAAAAAAAAAAAAAAAAAAAAAAACAAAGAAAAACAAAACCAAGGAGACAAACACAAGGGACAGAGCCCAAGGGGCAGCGATGTGATGTGTGCTGTTGGTCTTCGGCCTTCAGATTGCTCTAGACACCGCTGTGTTTTCAATCACTGTAACAAATACCCAAGGCAACAACTTGTAGTGAGAAAAGGAGCCTGGGCTCTCGGTTTTAGAGGGTCCAGCCAATGCTCAGATGTCCCTGTTGATTTGGACCTGGGATGAAGCAACACATCAGGGTGGGAATGTGGAGCAGAGTGAAAAGAAAGAGGCTGGAGTCCCACTGTCTGCTTTAAGGGCAAAAGAGAGCCCTCCAATGACCCAAGACCCTCACTGTTCCAGCAGCCAACAGTGGGACTTACTTGTGGATTCCAGAGATCAAACTCAGGTCATGAGGCTTGGGGCAGGTGCCCTTACCTTCAGCCTTCTTGCCAGACTTCTTCTTTTGTCCTTTTCCAAAATAGTATCTCAGCCATTAATGGTGGAACACGCCATTAATCCCATCACTTAGGAGGCAGAGGCAGGTGGGTCTCTGAGTTTGAGGCCAGCCTGGTCATCTACAGAGTGAGTTCCAGGACAGCCAAGGCTACACAGAGAAACCCTGTCTCAAAAAACAATCAAACAAAAGAGATAGTATCTCATTATTTAGCCCAGGCTGGCCTGGGTCAGCCTCCTCCATCAGTCCTCTGAGTGCTAGGATTATCAGTGGGCACAGCAAGCCCAGTTCCTACTAAATTTTAGTTTTATCTAAAGGAACCATGTGCAGTTTAGTTGTGTGAGCTTTTTCGCTTGTATTTACAGTGCTGAGGATTAGACCCTGGATCTTATGCACTTCAGTACTGTACACTGAGCTGGCTCCTCAAGTCCTAATGGGATTGTGTTATATAAGCTCTCAGCGGCTGGCTTAGGAGATGCTTCTGTGTTATCTAGGCAACTGTCGCTGGTTGGTCCTTGACTGTGTAGTGTTCCTCTATGTAAATGAAAATTAGAGTGTTCTGTTCTGTCCTTGGTTTTCTCTAGAGTGAAGCCCTACTCTGTGTTGATTGAGGGGCCATGGACTTCCTTTGCGATCATCTCTTCCTTTTGTTCTTTCTGTTAGGGAGAAGGTCTTGCTATGTAGCCCATTCTAGCCTCTAACTTTTGATCTTCTTGGCCCGAGTGCTGGGACTACAGGTGTGCACCACCATACCCAGCACCTACTTTCTTGTATTTTGAAGTTGAGATTTCTGACTGATCACTCAAAAGCTTTGGGCCCTGAAGTGACATTCTTGTTTCTTTCAAAAGTCATCTGTGAGTGTGAAACCGATATCAGAAGCTGCTGTTAGAAACCGATCCTGATGCAAGATGTAGGTTTGTGAGTCTCGCTGTGCACCCTGAAAATGTGGAAGAAAGAGTTTACAATAAGGACTAAAGAGCTAGAGAGGCAGCTCACCAGTTCTGCTCTTACAGAGGATCCTAGTCTTGCTCCCAGCACCCAGAGCAAGCAGCTCATTGCTGCCTGTAACTCCAGTTCTAGGGAGCTGATGCCCTCCTCTGGACTCTGAGTACCTGCACTCATGTGTGCTTACACACACACACACACACACACACACACACGTGCATGTGCGCACGCATGCATGCACGCACACACACATAGACACATAATGTAAAAATGATAACAATAAATCTAAACAAATAAACTAAGGATTAAAGACAGCTGTGGTGATTCATACTTGCAATCACAGCACCTGGGAGCTGAGACTGGAGGATTTCTGTGCATGTGGGGCTAGCCTGGGCTCTAGTCTAAAGCCTGTATTAAGAGTTAGGAGTGTGGCACAGTGGAGCCGTTTGGTTTTCAGTTGTGTTTCATCCCCTCTGTCTCTCCTGTTTCCTTCTGCAGACTGAAGAGTCTCCCGCTGAGGAGGCAGTAATGGAGTCCTGCCCTGGCCTGCCTCAGCCTGGAATCGCCTCCACGATGGTCCCTTGATTTCCCAGCTCACACATTGTACAGAATGTATTTATATGTAAATCCTGCTGTAAAATAAGTTTTTAAACCTTGATATTTCACAGGCTGCCCTGAAAGGTTGCAGAAATTGATTCCTATTTTTAACTTCAGTCCCTGTTATGGGGTAAGAAGACTGAACAGTTTAATTAAAGTGCTCTTTTTTCTATGTGCTTCTTGATTTCTCTTGGAATTTCCTGGAGGTCGATAAAAGGAGAGGAGCATGAAGGCTTTTTCTCTGGTTTCGGTGTGAGTCCAGTAAGGGCAGCTGGGTCTCGGAAGAGGAGGGGTGGAGGAGGAGCTTGCCATCCTTGACATGGGCCCCTTCTGTTGGTGGTGCCTGGAGCCCAGTGGGCTGACTGAGCCTGCCAGTATGCACAGCCTGGGTCCCATTGGGGAGGTACTGGGTGGTAGAAACTTCCCTAAACCAGGCTCCAATTTCATTCCAGCACCTTGAGGGGGGGGAAACCAAAGTTCAGAGGACTTTACACAATCAAACAGAACAACTTCAAAAGAAGTGAGAAAATACATGCTTTGTTTAACCACATGAGAATTTGAGAATTCTCTCTCTCTCTCTCTCTCTCTCTCTCTCTCTCTCTCTCTCTCTCT